TTCATTAAACACTGTACAACTCAGACTACAGAGGAATATCAAGAAAATGGGCAAAGTATCAATTATACCTCCTCTCTTACTTTAAATCACCAATCATTTATTAAAGAGACATCACATGCATTTATAAACTATGGGGAAAATTTCAGTTTGAGCAGTAATCTTATTTGCCATAAAGAGGAGAAACCGTATGAGTGTGGAAAGGGTTTTAGTAAGAAACAGCTGCTTATTTTGCCCCAAAAAATTCCCCCAGGAGAGAAACCGTATAAATGTACAGAATGTGGAAAGAATTTCAATCAAGACAGTTACCTTAGGAAACATAAGATAATTCATACAGGGAAGAAACGATATACATGTTTTAAATGTGGAAGGAAATTCATGGGAAATGGTAGCTTTATTATGCACGTGAAAATTCACACAGGGGAGAAACCATACAAATGTTTGGAGTGTGGAAAGCACTTCAGTCAGAACAGTAACCTTATCAAACATACAATAATTCACAGAGGGGAGAAACCTTGTAAGTGCACAGAGTGTGGAAAGAGGTTCAGTCAGAAAAGTCTACTTGTGCAACATAGAAGAATACATGCAGGGGAGAAACCCTATAAGTGCACAGAATGTGAAAAGAGATTTAGTGCAAGAGATAGCTTTATGACACATAAAAGGTTGCACGCAGGAGAGAAGCCATATAAATGCTTGGAGTGTGGAAAGAGCTTCATTTGCAGCAGGTATCTTACATACCATAAACGGATTCATGCAGGGGAGAAACCATATAAATGCATGGAATGTGGAAAGAATTTCAATTCAAATTCACATCTTACAGATCATATAAGAGTACACACAGGAGAGAAAACATATAAATGCTCAGAGTGTGGAAAGAGCTTCAGTCGGAACAGTGTCCTTACTCGCCATAAAAGGATACACACAGGAGAGAAACCATATGAGTGCACAGTGTGTGGAAAGAGCTTCAGTCAGAACAGTGTACTTTCTTGCCACAAAAGGATCCACACAGGAGAGAAACCATATGAATGCACAGAGTGTGGAAAGAGCTTTATTCAGAAAAGTCTACTTGTGCAACATAAAAGAATTCACAGAGGGGAGAAGCCCTGTAAGTGCACAGAATGTGGAAAGAGGTTCAGTCAGAAAAGTCTACTTGTGCAACATAAAAGAACACACACAGGGGAAAAACCCTATAAGTGTGCAGAATGTGGAAAGAGGTTTAGTGTGAGATGTAGCTTTATGAGACATAAAAGGGTTCACACAGGAGAGAAACCCTATAAGTGCGCAGAATGTGAAAAGAGATTTAGTGCAAGAGATAGCTTTATGAGACATAAAAGGGTGCACACAGGGGAGAAACCATATAAATGCTTGGAGTGTGGAAAGAGCTTCACTTGCAGCAGGTATCTTGCATCCCATAAACGGATTCATACAGGGGAGAAACCACATAAATGCCTAGAGTGTGGAAAGAGCTTCACTCGCAGCAGGTATCTTACATACCATAAACGGATTCATACAGGGGAGAAACCTTATAAATGCATGGAATGTGGAAAGAGTTTCAGTGGAAACTCACATCTTACAGATCATATGAGAGTGCACACAGGAGAGAAACCATATAAATGCACAGAGTGTGGAAAGAGCTTCAGTCGGAACAGTGTCCTGATTTGCCATAAAAGGATACACAC